CATGAAAATTCGCCTTTTTTCTAAATACGCATCTAAACAGAACGCATAATCTTCGTTATTAAAACGTATTAAAATGCTACCGAAATGTCAAGAAGGCATTATCATGTATTTTTGATTCAATGTTGTACAATCTAAACTAAAAATTCGTATTTTTCAAGAAAGTAAAAATAAAATATTTTTCAAGAAAGTATGGAACTTGCGCGAAATTTGATTACTTGCAAATTAAAATACTACTTTCTTAAAGCACCAAAACAATTTTGTTTGCATCACGTAAGGCACATCAGGTAATGTAAATTTTATAACAGATTAAATGTGTAGTTGCATCAAGAAAATTATTAAATATCTTTGTTCTTTTATATCGAGAATTGTCCTTAATGTTAAGCAGATATTTTTTTTAATTTCTGTTGCCAATTTAAAATTTTAACTATGTGAAAAGCATATAAATAAAACATGAAAATCACGTAGAAGCAATTTAGCAAGTAATAAATCAATTTAATATAAAACAATTGTTTAATTGCCCCTAACTAATTACATATTACATAGAATTGAAAAATGTATACTATAAATTACATACTTTATTGAGGAATTGATCTATTAATTGTACAAAATATATTTATATTGCAGATTGGCAGAAGTGGGAAAATTGGAAACACCAAAATTACAAGGAAAATATGAAACTGGTCAATTAATTTTACATAGAGTATTTGGTTATCGTGGTGTAATATTATTTCCATGGACAGCAAGAGTTTATGATAGAGATATTCCAAATAAGCGAGAAGAGTAAGTTTATAACTTAATTATTAGTTATATAATTATAAAGTAAATAGTTAATAAATAAATGGCTTAAACAAAATATTTTATCACAGAAACACAAATGATCATTATAATAGTGTGGGAAAAGAAGTAAAAGGTAGAACTCATACGTTTTATCAGGTATTAATTGACCAAAGAGATTATCCTTATATAGTAAGTAGAATGAGTACATTAAGTACAGAAACAAAACTTACATTATAAGTCAACAATATAAATCTTATACATTTACATATTTAGCGTACTCAAACAGAAGCTGTAACATTTCTAAGTAATCATGAAAGCAGTCGCAGTTTGTATACAGTACCAGGATTAGACTATGTTGCTCATGAGGATGTTTTACCTTATACTACAAATGAGAAGACTGCATTGCAACATGAACTATTTGACAAATTTTTAACTTATAACCCAAATCGAGATCCATGTTTTGTTGCGCAAGAGACTCTTAGAGCATGGCAAAAAAAGAATCATCCATGGTTGGAATTATCAGATGTACATAAAGAAACTACTGAAAATGTTCGTGTTACTGTTATTCCATTTTACATGGGTTATAGAGGAAATCAAGCAACTGCTGCACATTGGGTAGGTATTATTACATATAATACAATAGATGTAAGCAATAAATATAATTCTATATTGACCAAATAAAATATAGTGGCGCTATTGTATCCGTTTGGAAAATTTGGGGGATTTAAGTGTACAATTACGTGAAAGACATTGGAGAATATTTAGTCTTTCTGGTACATTGGAAACTGTTAGAGGAAGAGGTGTAGTTGGTCAGGAACCGGTCTTATCAAAAGTGTTACCTGCTTTTCAATACAGTAGTCATGTGAGTTTACAAGCTGCAAGTGGCCATATGTGGTATGTACTTCATTACTTCTTTATCTATTATTTATTATGAATGTAACATTACTTATATTAATGTAATCTTTTAAAAAATTACAATATTTTATTTTTCATTAAATATAAATACTTAAATATTTTTGATTATAATACAAAGGCTGTTTAACAAAATTTTTATATGTATTCTTTTAGGGGTACATTCAGAATGGAAAGAGAAGATGGATACGCATTTGATTGCAGGATTCCACCTTTTTCTTTGGAATCAAAAGTAGAAGAATCATCTACACCAAACATGAGTTCATAACTGAACGATGTGATATTATGTGCGAAGTGACTGTAATTATTTTGATATATTAAAAATTAATCAACGATTAAACTTAATAATGTTTATGGCTCTTATTTTTATAGAAATGTATATGTTGGCTATAATATTTGA